AATGCTATGAATGTTTTTCACCTATAAAAAACAGGATTAACAATTCCAAAGGTTGGTTGGTTTGCTCTTTGTTGCTTTAGAAAATCTGACTTCATACTTACTAAAATCTGCTAGTGTGCAATACTCAACTGCCAACATAAATAAAATGTCATAGTAATTCTGTGAAACTCACTGGTTTATTTCCACAGACATGGAGAGAAGGATGGTGTGCTGTCATTAGAGGAGGACTAGGTTAGAACTCAGTAAAACTGGTTCCTAGAACTGCTCTCTTACTAGCTGGCAGCCCAGCCCTTCAACCTGAGTTAAAGTCCCTTGCCTGTAAGTGTGTGACAATCAAATGAAATACCGGATATGTTATGGTAAGGCGTTTTACAGTGCAATATTTTGTTGTTATTAGCAAAGTTCAGTTGAGGAGCTGCTTTGTGAGGAAAGATGAGTTCAATTTTAGACTTGTTGAATTTGAGGTGACAGCATGACATGAATCAAATGTTCCTTTCTAATTCAATCACATTGTAGTTTGCAGTCAAAAGCCCTTCCCAGTGGTTTGGCTTTAGTCTTCAGATTCTTGGCCTAATATTCCTTTGGCTTATTTCTCAGCAGACAGCTTTAACCACAGCAGGGAGAATGAGTCCTTAATGACTGCTTCCCAAGCTAATCAAACAGAAAGGCTTAATTCGTTCTTCTACATCTCTGGATCAGCCATAACGTCCTGGCTACTACTTGGGGGTCTTTCTTTTCCAAAACAAGCAAGAGACCTAAAAGCTCCATCTGGGACATCCTATGCTAAAAACAACTCCCCCGCGTTCCCCTAAATGGAATCTCACGTGAAACCCTCAATTGCCCACTATACTTGAACGATCTGAGAAGTCACTGCCTTCAACCTCCCACCTACCCAACTAGATCTGCCATCTATCTAGGCCAGGTCACACTCAACCTTCCTTCATCTTGGATTTCTCCTCGGATGGGTGGCCTGACAACCAGACCACTCCTCTCCTCTGTCTCTTCCAACTCTTCTTGTTTGGTATTCTTCATTGGTATAGCTCCTTGCCTAGGGTACACAGTTATTAGAGCTAGATTTTTAAGGACCTTTTATTACTACTAATAAAGAAACATATTAAAGTTGTTTCCCAAGTTCAAAACAAACAAGGAGCCAAAATACTTTCCTGGTATTTTGAATCACAACATGCCCAGTTCCTGGCTCATTCACATACCACTTGACTTTAGAAGTGAAATTCTGTCCCTGCTAAATGACTTGGTATGTGTGGAAATTCTTCGACTCTGAGACTCCCTCCATGAGCCCCGCGAGTTGCTCAGCTTTTCGGCCTCATCCACAGCAGCTTACCCTTCACGCGACTCCCACAAGCTTATTACTTTTCTTTCAAAATGAAAAACAACTCAATCATTTAATTTTTTTCTGATTCTAAAAGTAACATACATTTCTTATTTGCTTAAACCAGACATTACCAGATGTGTAAAAGAGAAAGTGAAAATCAGCTCCCTAATCATACCACTCAGATATGGACACGACTAACATCTGATATATTTTACCAGACATCTTGTTATGCATGCACAGATACTTTTGTTTTTAACCAAGTGGGACTGTGTTATACATATCATTTCCTAAACACTTTCTTTATTTATGACTATTTTTAACACATTAGCAAAATCTAATTTTCAACAGCAACACAGTATTCTCTGTATAGATCTACATAGTAATTATATGGATGTACTATAATGTAACCTATTTTCTGTAGATGGACAATTAAAGATTTTTTCAACTTTATGTTCTTATAAATGAGGCTGCAAAGGGCATCGTTATAGATATACTTTTATCACGTGTTCAACTATTTATCTAGGAAAAATTCTCAGAAGTCAGCATTTCTGGGTTTAAGAGTATCCTCACCTAAAAGGCTTCTGACACACATTGGCAAATGGCCCTTCAGAAAGGTATACAACACCGGCAATGTAAATGAGTGCTAATTTCACCATAAGCAGAATTTGTCCAAAGAAAAGGTGAGTGCACAGCATCCTTAATATATCAAATGTTAGCACAACCTCTGCTTTAAACTCAGGTAAAAACAAAATGTTAACATTTCTAATTCTCTGCACACCAGATTTAAACATTTGAAATGCGGCTGACTAGTAGAAATCATACCTAACCGCCCACCAGATTGTAATAAAAGTGTACCAGTCCCTTTGTTCCTTCCGTGAACCTTCAGCAAATGCCAGCAGTAAGCAGCCCAGGGGTATTCTGCTACTGCTCCCAGGAGACTCGGGGCAGAGCAGGACTCCAAGTCCCTCGGAATCATCTGAGAATGATTAAACTATGTTTATTAGAGATTTAACCACTTTACTGCAATCTATTCTTCTAAGAAACTGGTAACTCACAAATGATAGGTAGGGCACCTCTATTAAATAACATTTTTGATTGGCCAGAATCCACAATTTTCCCACCCATGCTGGGTGTAAGCAGGTTTACTATGGAGTATTATGCTTTGTTTCTGCTAACTGCCTTCGCTCATCTCTTGGAGAACACCTGGCGAAAGATATGATCAATCTTACTGCGGGAAGCCCAGTGCTGCTGGTAGCAAAATGGCTCATCAAATATTTGGAAGGAAGCGCGCGCGTGCATGCGTGTGTGTGAATAAGTTTAAAAAATCTCAAAAGTCCATAAAAATTACATGATGTTATTTGATTGTGTCAGTGGTACAAAAAAGGAGAGAGGACTGGTTTTTCTTTCATTCCCAGAACCAGCAGCTTAAAGGCTCTGGTGTTATAAGAGAAAACAGAACTATGCAATGGGAAAACTTTCTTGGAATGCTGTGGCTTTTACACTGAAGACGTTTTAAGTTTTTACCACTAGAGCTCTACACCCTCAGTATATTCAAGTAACAAGATAATCATGTTACGTGCTGTGCCGTTTAGACAGAGAGTTCAAATAAATAAAGTACTGCAGACATGGCAAATAAGGAAGTCACTGAGGAATCAGTGTCTACGTTTGGACGGGCCGGGGTCTGAAAATATGCTAGATGAGAGAAAGGCAGAGTGGCAAAGCTCCCGTAGTAAGACACTGAAGCAAGGCACTAGTCATCTTGCCCCAGTATTCCCAACACCCCATTTTCCCCATCAAATATTTCTCAAGACTTGCACAACACTGGCAAAATTCTTATAATAATTTCACCTATAGTATAGGCTGTTTCGTTTTGTTTTTACCGTGTTCCCCATAGCCTGAAGAATATTGCCCTATTACCTTTCATTTTGTTTTTTCCCATTTTGCTGCTTTCTGATTTGAGACTACAGTAGATCCCTAAAGTTTTCAAGCAAAAATGCTGGCAATGTATTTTATTAACCAAACAAGATCTCTTACCGGGGAATCAGGTTTAAAAATAGAATAAGGAAAAGCAATAACCATTTTTTATGGAGGGGGAGGAAGTTGATGTTATTGCATGTTTAGGAGCATTAAAGACCTAGAGAAAATAAAAAAGAAGTATGGTTGAGTCTATAATGAGTGTAAATTTACTTATTTTATGTTGATAATCACAGTACTACTCTGAAAAATTACCTGGACAACCAAATAATTAGTCAAGTTTGGATTTGCAATCTTGCTATTCTATCTTTTTTTTTTTTACATACATGGTATATATGATACAATTATTTTGCAACTTAAAACAATTTAATAATATATTTGATGATTTTCTAAATAAGTTCACCAAGACATAATTTATCATCTACTGCACAGGATCCCTCGCTTTATTTAACCATTTTCCTATCGACAGACATTTGGGCTTTTCCTAGTTTTTCTCTGTTGCATACAGTGCTGCAATGCCTTCTTGTGCACCCCTTTTATAGGACAGATACTGGGAAGTGGAATAGTATATGTGCATTTAAATTTGAAAGATTCTGTCACATCACCCTTCACAGTAGTCATTCCAGGTGGTTTGAAGTGAGAATTCCCCATGCTCTGTCACTTCAAATAACCAAGTCAGATCAACATACATTAAGACAGCCCACTGCTAACTGACAGGACCAGAGAAATTATTTAATCTTGTATATCTTGTATAGCAGTGGTTTCTACTATTTTAAGAAGGTGGATCCTTTTAAAACATCAAGAGGGGCGCCTGGGTGGCTCAGTCGGTTAAGCGTCTGACTCTTGGTTTAGGCTCAGGTCATGATCTCAGGGTCGTGAGGTCGAGCCCCATGTCAGGCTCTGTGCTCAGTGTGGAGTCTGCTTGAGATTCTGTCTCCCTCTGCCCATCCCACCTGTGCTTTCTCTCTCTATTAAATAGATCTTTTAAAAAGTTAAAAAAATAAAATATCAAGAAACATTAGGATATCATGACAACTACTTATATTTTTGTTATTTACTAATAAAGTGTTTCATAAAGTGTCTATAAATTCAACAATACATAAAAGGGAATCTGTCTTATAAACCACTGCATTTATATATATTTGAAGAATAGTCTTTAATAACTGAAACAGTTATTTATCAGGCTCCAGAAAGTACTTGGTATAGATATGAATCTGGGAATCTCTTCCAGTATCTTCACCATTAGAGAACCACGGTGTAAAGCAACAGATGACAAGAGCACCACTGAACAGACTTTGAATTGTCACCTTCAAAGTCTTTTGTTTTTCAACATTCCTCGCGCTTGGTAAGCACGCCCACACACAGACACACACGCAAACCCACAGGTTAAGTGAGGAAAGCCACAGAGGCACTAAAATGAGGCTTATTTATTAAAGACTTTTTATTTTATTTATTTTTATTTTAATTAAATTATTTTTTTGAAGATTTTATTTATTTATCTGACAGACAGAGAGAGAGACAGCAAGAGAGGAAACACAAGCGGGGGGGTGGGAGAGGGAGAAGCAGGCCCCCCGCGGAGCAGGGAGCCCGATGCAGGACTCGATCCCAGGACCCTGGGACCATGACCTGAGCCGAAGGCAGACGCTTAACGACTGAGCCAGCCAGGCGCCCCTATTAAAGACTTTTTTTAAAAAAAAATATGGAATGCTTCACGAATTTGCATGTCATCCTTGAGCAGGGGCCATCCTTATCTCCTCTGTATAGCTGCAATCTTACTTAGTGTACGTGCTACTGAAGACAGCACTGTTTATTAAAGATTTAAAGAGGTCCCCATGCAGATCGGTTTCCAAGTCTCTCTGCTTTCCTTAACTGCCTGTGCCACATTCCTATGTTTTAAAGAGAATACTGCCCCCAAAATTCTAACGGACTCGCCACCCAAAAGAAACAATCTTACCAGTAGTTCACCAGTTACAAATTCACAATAACTTGTGGGCGGGTAGACAGTTGGCTAAACTCTCAGATTGGCTCTCCGCTCCCTGCATCCCACACTATTTCCACTTTCATATCAGGAGTTGTCCAAGAGAAGGTGGTGCTGGTTGAGGGGGAGACTGCAGGTTGTAACTGAGACACTCAACCACAAACATGGTCCCGCCCCAGGTTTCTGCAGCTCTCCCCTCCTCACAGAGGCTAGATTCAGGAGAAGGCCTCAATAATGACTTCTTCTTCATTTTTTTTTTTTTTAAAGAACAACAACTTCTTAGTCAATTACTTTTCTCTGATTTCCCTTACTCTTGGTTCTATATCATTGTCTTAACCTGGGTCTTAATATGGGATCCAACTTAAGAGTTAAAATCTCATGTGGGTTAAAGATGTACTCATCAACTATTATGGGACAAAATAACTCATACATACTTTCATTATTCTTTTCCACGTACCAAAAACCCTGGTGACTTTCTTTCATAATATGAAATGCAAGCAGAATCGCTAAACATATCCTATCAGCTCTGTGAATTGCTCAAAGCTCTTAGCAAACTCTCAGGCAATACTGTGATCAGGAGGGAAAATCCAAGCTACTGAAATGAGTCATATTTGCCCTGGGAGATTTACTGTATGTTTGAAAGCTAAAAGATGTTTATAGCAACATTCCAGGCTCTTAAATATGATTTTGTTTATATGTGGTGTCTGCAAAATGTTGTGGTTTTGTTTAATGCACAAAAAGTCCAATTCTGAATGTTTTCCCCTTGAATTCCTTAACGAAAGGAATTAAAAATTACAATGGAGAAAAAAAAAACCAAGAAAATAAAAAAAAATTTCAAGGCAGAATATGTTTAGAAATGGGTTAATAGTTAATAGTCAATTGGTGGTCTGTTAGTAATTAAGTAGGATAGAATGAAAGAAAAGTTCCTTTGATTTAGAATATATATATTTAAAAATATTGTTCTTATTTATTATATATATTTGTATGTTATTTATTTTATATATCTATATAGTTATATATATATTTTTTTTTGGTAGGGAAAGAAGGTAAAAATAAACTGTCATTGTAAAATTGAAATTTACCCAGGAAGAGAGGTATGTTCCCTTTCATCTATTCCTCTTTCCCTCACCCCATCGCCACCCCCCCCACTTCTGAGAATTATTACAGTTTATAAGTTTTGGATCCCAATAGTAAGACACTGTGTGCTGGCATCCTTCAGAGCTCCTATACATGTCATCGCTGCCAGTTATCACCCTCCGCCTTCCACATGCCTTATACAATAGTGACATTCCATAATCACATGAGTTTTGTAACCGCAGACTACGGTGGGGAAACATGTGCGGCACAGCAGAGTAGAAAACAGCATCAGACAGTAGAAGACACACACCTCTCCACTCTGCCTCTCTCTACGCTACTGCGGCTAGCTTGGCTCCTAGCATCATGAGGACCGCAATGTCCTGTCGAATGGCTAGATCAGGTCTGACTGCGCGTGCGTGGTCAGAAGAGACCTGGAGGCGCTGGGAGTTCTGACTCGGGGACTCCGGCTTGTACCGTAACTAAGGGCTGACGGGCACACTGTTCTCAGAATGGTCCTGCCCTAGGGTCGGCTGACGCCCAAGTTCAGAGACTCATTTCTGAATCGATGCAGGTAGCCACAGGAAATGTTTTAAAATATGGATTCTAACTGGGATCAATATTTTAAATTAAAAAGATGTTTAGCATAACATATTGTACCTGTAAATGAACGCATACTATGTATAATACATGACCGCTTTAAAAGATAATGAAACAGCCAGCTAAAAGCACCAGCACCTTGGAGACTCGTTTGCGCCCTCTTCAGTCAGTCCAGATCTGTGTTTAAATGCCTCCGAATAACCTCTAACCCAAATTTTGGGTTATTTTAATTATTCTACTTTTCTTTGTAGTTTTATTTCCAAGGTATACATGCCTCAACAATTTATTTTTTAGTTTTGCCTTCTTAAAACTTTATGTAATCATACTGTATGCATTCTATGGTTAGTTTCTTTCATAAAACTATATTTCCGAGATTCATCTATGCTTATATGAACAGCTGTAGTTTAGAAGGATGGATGCACAGGGTTTTCCAAACATTTCTTGAGACTGGGATTAATATCTAACTATTCAATTAGTACCATTTTCTTTTCTTTTTTTTTTTAAGATTTTATTTATTTGACACAGAGAGACTCAGCGAGAGAGGTAACACAAGCAGGGGGAGTGGGAAAGGGAGAAGCAGGCTTCCCACTGAGCAGGGAGCCCGATGCGGGGCTTGATCCCAGGATCCTAAGATCATGGCCTAAGCCAAAGGCAGCCACTTAACGACTGAGCTACCCAGGTGCCCCAGATACCATTTTCTTTTTGAAAGTCCATAGATGGTTAGTGATATTCGGTAGAACTAAATGAACAGAATCTGGATTTACTTTCTTACTGAATTACTATTCTTTTTAGAAGATCTTATTTATTTATTTGAGAGAGAGATAGAGAGTGGGGGGGTAGGGGCAGAGGGAGGGAATGCCCAGCTGAGTGGGGAGCCCAACTCGGGGCTCGATCTCAGGACCCCAAGATCATGACCTGAGCCGAAATTAACAGTTGATGCTTAACAGACCAAGCCACCCAGGCATCTCCACTGAATTGCTACTTTTTATCACAGTTATTTTTGAAAGGAACAAAGCATCTGTCAAACCTATTTAGTACAGATTTTGGAGGAATAATTCCGTGACAGTTTCCTGAGATTAAACTAAAATCTCTTTATTTTGTCACAGACCGGACTGCCTTTGCATCCCTCCCACTATCCCGCCCTGTTAAAACAATAAACATGGTCAGATCCAAACAGGTCACTGTTTCATTTATAAAGGTTTAGAAAGCGTAGGTATGGAAAGAGTAGGTTGATGATGGAGAAGATCCACTTTGCTCCTCACTTGGTTATTCATGTTAAACTTTGGTCAAAATGAATGAAAATGAGTAAGAAATGTTTAAGGGGTCAATAAAAGAATTAAAATAAACTTTTCTCTCTTTCAACTCTTATTATTCAACTGGTATAAAACATGGCTAATAGAGATAAACCCAATTACTGTGTTTTCATAAATACTACCTTTTCTTCATCCCCAACCTAGGATTCTTTGTCTACCAAGAAATATTAAATAATAAGAATCTTAAATAAATACAGTCATTATGAACTTAGGCTTTTTAAAATGTCAATCAAAAGTAAAATCTGGGGCGCCTGGGTGGCTCAGTTGGTTGAGCGACTGCCTTCAGCTCGGGTCATGATCCCGGAGTCCCGGGATCGAGTCCCGCATCGGGCTCCCTGCTCAGCGGTGAGTCTGCTTCTCCCTCGGACCCTCCCCCCTCATGCTCTCTCTCTATCTCATTCTCTCTCTCAAATAAATAAAATCTTAAAAAAAAAAAAAAAGTAAAATCTGACTTGGGGCTGTTCCCTGACTGCTGTATGTATTAAAAGGACAATCTTGCTTTAATGCGCACAGTAGATGTGGACAATAAACCTTGGGCTTAATTTTTTTCAAGTAAAACATGCTAAAGCAATTCACACCCAGGTGTCTGTGACTGGCAACACTATATTTTACCAGTTCTTTAATTAATTAATTAAGTAAGTTAGTTATTTGACAGAGAGCGACACAGCGAGAGAGGGAACACAAGCAGGGGGAGAGGGAGAAGGAGAAGCAGGCTTCTCGTGGAGCAGGGAGCCCGATGTGGGACTGGATCCCAGGAGCCCGGGATCATGACCCGAGCCGAAGGCAGATGCTCAATGACTGAGCCACCCAGGCGCCCCGAGTTCTTTCTTTTGCATTAGGTCTGCACCCAGATATACAACTGGCTCAACAGTTGCCCCAGAGCAGGGTGCAGGGAGGACCCCCATGTTCCCACTGGCCAATTTGGAGCGACGGTGTCTGATGGCAGATACATATACAAGCAGATTCTTTTCATAGCCAAAGACTCCTAGGAACAGAAATTTCCCTTTCCATCTTTGAATGTGAAAATACAAACTCATGTTAGATGAAATCTTATGCTTAGTGTGATCTAGAAATTCAGGTCTTAGCCCCAAATTCAAAATATTTGTGCGGTGTGGTACAAAGGCTCATTATTTCACGTGGTGTTAGCTTCCAATGATGGTACGGCTGTCTCATTGGTAAACATTTGACAAAAGGAATAAGGCGACTGCAAGAAGGAAAACAAGATGCCCTTAAGTGGGGATTACGAACCTGTGACTAATTAAAGGGAATCCCTGAAAGGGGAAAGTGGTATTGCAGACATGCGGACGGAAACGGTCCGTGGCACGCGGGTCCTGCTAACTGATGTCACGTGTCCTGTGTCGGCTGAGAGGACTCTTCGCATCCTCTCCAGACAGGCAGGGCTTACTGCAGGAAAGTTTATGAGTAATGGATTTTCATAACAGGCCTTTTATGATCCTCTCCTCCCCCAAAAGCACCCTCTGGAGTTTTCCTGCTTCCACTCTCATTTTTCTTAAGTGGAAAAAGATTTACTCTTCATTTCCTCTTTCCTGGTACTCTCTGTTGGCTCCACTTTTTTCCGTTGGGTGGATAGCCTCCCATCTTCCCTCCACCCCCCTTCCATCCTTCCTCTCTTCCTCAGAAACAGAAAGCTCCACTATACTGACAGATCTGACACGGAAGCATTGTTTCCAGCACCTCCGCTGAAATACGTGAGTGTCACTCTGACAAGAAAGCATATTTTGGGGTGGTTACTACCTTCCTGACCCCAGAGGTATTGCACAAACTTACCTAGCATCCAGCTGGCGCATAGCTCCCCTCCAAGCGCTAGAACTGCAAAGT